AATCCTGACGTAACACTTCTCCTCATAGAGCCAAGCCTCTTGGATAATCTGCTCTGCATACAGGTTGAAAAGGTATGGAGATAGGACACATCCCTGGTGTACACCCTTCCCAATTTTGAACCATGCAGTGTTGCCCTGTTCTGATGACTGCCTCTTGGTCCAAGTGTAGGTGTTGCATTAGCACGATTGAATGTTCTGGCATTCCCATTCTTCTCAGAGTCAGCCACAGTTTGTTATGATCCACGCAGTCAAACGCCCTTGTGTATTCTCTGCTTTCAGCTAAGGTCCCTCTAACATCAGCTACGATATCCCTAGTACCACGACCCCTTCTAAGCCCAGCCTGGACTTTTGGCAGTTCTCTGCTGATGTACTGTTCCAGTTGTTTTTTGGATAATCTTCAGTAGCATCCTGCTTGCATAGGGTTGCTTTAAGTCAAAGCCAACTCGATGGCACATAACAACAACAACAACACCTCCTCCACCACACAGTTATGATATTGGTTGTTTGTTGTAGTTAATTTTTATTATGTTGTATTTTCCCTCCAGCTTTCTCAGAAACAAAACCAAACCCGTTGCCATTGACTCTGACTCATGGCAGCCCATGTATTTTAGAGGAGAGTTGTGCTACATACTGTTTTCAGTGGCTAATTTTTCTGAAAAAACCCCCACAGGTCTTTCTTGTGATGTGTCTTTGGGTGAACTTGGACCTTTAATCTTTTAAAAATTTTTACATTAAAAGATATTACTTCTAAAGAGGTGTCAAGTCATGGGTTTTTTCCTAGCTGCATTAAGTATTGCCACTACTCAGGGACTACTTCTTCTAGAAAAAACTTAGAGAGTCAGATAGCCCCCTTTTCCTTTGTCATCATTTGTGAAGACAAGATTCAACGGGTCCTGATTACTTTTCTATGCTTTCATATATGGTTTAATACAATAAGCTCATCCTGTAAATGACAAGTACAATCATACAAATCTTCCAGTTGTATGATCTTGACTCCTGTATACCTTTGTTGAGAGGTATAAATACTACTAAGGAATGCCTGTTCGTGTTAATGGTAGGTCCTGAACACTGGCACCAAAGAGCAAGCACAAAAAATATTGGTGAACTTATTATTTTTTTTTTCATTTTAGATCTTGAATTTACCTGAATTGATTGAGGATGCCAAGTACAAAACTAACCACCTTCGGGTACAAAATAGAAAAGAGCTCATTAAAATACTGTCTGCACGGTAAGGTTAATCTAATATTTATGCATTTATTAATTAATGTATCATAAACATTATCTGATATTTTGGCATCTTTGGTGTATTTATATCAATTTATAATTCTTTTGTACTATAAGTTGGTTAATGGGAAGACATTTCAAGTTATTATGAGTTTTTTTTGTTCAAAAGCATTTTATGTTCTCTTCAGTACTGATATTCCATTCAGACTGATGGAGGGTCACTATGAGTAGGAACAAACTCTACTGCAAAGAGTTTAAGTCTGATTAAGGGCTGAAGAAGACTTTATGCTTGGTAAAGTGCAGAGTTATACAAATGAGATCTTTAATAAGATGGTTTGACACAATGGCTACAAAAATGAGCTTAAGCAGAGTGGGAATTATGAGTCTAGCTCACTACTGGGCAGTGTTTTATTCGGTTATATATAAGGTCATTATGTGTCAGAGCCAAACTCAACAACACTTAACAACAAAATCCATCACTAAATCACAACTATGCTAAAACTTAGAAAGTGACATATGTCTGCAGTAGATAGTCTATTCATGGACATAAAGAATGTCACTTTAAAGTCATTTGCATCTGATCCAAGATATGGTATTTTTAATTGCTTCATTTACCTATGAAAATTGGACAATGAGTAAGAGACTCTGCAGAAGGATTGATGCATCTGAATAATGGTATTGGTGAAGAATATTTTTACTTCCTCTTTGCTAATTTGAATTCCACTTTCCCCTTTCTCTTCTTGTCTTCTTGCCCTCCCTAGAACTTCCAATACATTATTGTACAGGACTCATGATAGTGGGTGTCTTTGCCTGGTATCTGTTTTGAAGTGTCTACTCTTTCTCGATGGAGGATGTTTCCTTTTGCTTTAGAGTATATTCTCTTAATTATATTGAGGGCATTTCCCTCTATTTCTATTTTGTTGAGTGTGCTAATCTGGAAAATATGTTGGACTTTATCAAATTCCTTTTCTGCATTAGTTAAGATGATCATGTGGATCTTTATTTTGTTGAAGTGCTGGATTATACTTACTAGGCTTTTAAAAAATCACTGTATATTGGTTTGCTTTCATAGTTAATATGCATTATATTTTACCCTTTTCTTCTCTCACGTTTTGCTTCATACAGTCTTTCCCATGCATTGTGTTTCATAATATTAATATCCATTTGACAATGCCCATTATTACCCTGTCTATTCAGGTACCCACCAGAACTTTCCCTTTTCCTTTACCCCGTCCCTCTGAACACCAAGTTGTGTTACCGTATGATTTTGCTCCTACACAGCCTCACCCCTCTGTTCTCACCCCTTCAGCCTTTGGGTCTCCATATATGTTTTATCAGCTATCCTTCTATTTTTATAACAATGCAGTATTAGTCCTTATGGGATTGAGTTAGTTCACTCAGCATGATATTCTCCAGTCTCCCATGTAGTAGTTTTTTAAATCTTTCCTCCTGTGTGTTGCATAGTATTCCATTGTGTGAATGTACCACAATCTTTTAATCGATTCTGTTGTGGTTGGATAGTTGGGCTATTTCCATGTTCTTGTCATGGTGAATAACACTGCTATGAACATTGGTATTCAAATCTCCATTTGTGTCTCATCTAATTTCTATGGGATATATTAGCAGAATAGCTGGGTCATAGTGAGTTTCTATGTTCAGCTTTTTGACAAAATGCCAAACTGCCTTCCAGAGTGGTTGTACCATTTTACAATCCCACTAAGAGTATATAAGAGTTCACACATTTCCACATCCTCCTCAATATTTATTGCTTGCTTCCACTGCTACTGGAGTGAGATGGCATTTCATTGTGGCCTTGATTTGCATTTCTCTTACTGTCAGTGATTTTTAGAATTTCTTCCTTCATGTATCTGTTGGCCATCTGAATGTCTTTCTCTGTGAAAATTTTTTCCATGTCTTTGCCTATTTTTGTAGATGCATTACCAATTCTGTAAAATTCTAATGAGACACTTTTCTGAGATGGTATTGCCAATTTTTTTTTTACCAGTCAGTAGATTTTCTTTTCACACAGTTGGAAAAATATTTTGATGAGCACAGATATTTAATCTTTAAAAGATCTCATTCGTCAGTTTTATCCTTTCCAGATTCTGCATCTCTGACTCTATTGTTAGCCTCTTTATAGCACAGAATAGGCCTTCTAAGTGTGATCTCAGTTTGTCTACTGAACTTTAGGTTTGGAGTTTTACTCCCAGGTTTTACTCCACCTTCAGTTGATTGCTGTGTATAGTGTGAGATGTGGATATTGTTTCAGCTTTGTGCAGTTAGCGGTCCCGTTTTGCCAGCACCATTCGGTGAAGAAGTTGTTATTTCCCCATTTGACAGGTATTTCCTTGTCAAATAATTTTATCAGTTGACCATAGATAGATGGGTCCTTTCTGGGTTCTCGATTTTGCTGTATTTGGTCATTTTATCAGTACCAAGTTGTTTTAGGTACTACAGCTGTGTAGTAGGTTTTGAGGTCAGAAAGTGCTATGTTTCCCATTTCAATTTTGTTTTTCAGTAGTACTTTGTTTATTTGGGGTCTCTTTCCTCTTCAAATAAACTTGACAATTTCACTTTCGATATCCTTGAAAAATGAGTTTGGTATCTGTATTGGGATTGTGTTGAATATGTAGATTACTTTTGGTAGGATTGTCATTTTCACTATGTTGAGATTTCTGATCCATGAATGCGGCACATTTATTTTTCTGTTTATTTAGGTCTTTTCTTGTGTCTGACAGAAGTATCCTATAATTTCCTTTGTAAAAATCTCTTGAGTCTCTAGTTAGGTTCATGCCCAAGTATCTGGTGCAAGACTTATTTTCAGGGAGGGGTCTTTTTATGACCTGCTCAATTCCTTCTTTTGTGATGGATCTGTTCAAGTGTTCTACATTTTTTTTAATCTGGGTAGGATATGAGTTTCAAAAACTTTGTATATTTCCTCTAGGTTTTAAAATTTAATGGAGTATCTAGCTTTTCATAATATTCCAATATTACAGATTTTTCCTATGGTTCTGTTGTGATGTCACCGCTCTCATTCCTAATTAGAGTTACCTGTGTCTTCTCCTTTTTTCTTTTGTTAAATTTGTCCTTAGTTTGTCAATTTTATTTGACCTTTCAAAAAACTAGTTCCTGTGAACAGACCCATTAAAAAAGAAGAAATTGAAAAGATAACACAACAACTTCTGACCAAAAACAGCCCTGGACCAGATGGTTTTACAAGTGAATTTTATCAAACATTAAAAGAAGAATTGTCCCATCCCCTTTTCCTTATGAATCAGGGTGAAGTCTGTCTCAGGGAGGAGTGATAGGGAATGGCAAAGGACACACCGACAAAGGAGATTAATCAGAACTGACTTTTTTTTTC